ACCTTATAACTTCTCCTCTCTACCGCTTCTTCGTCATGACAATCTTGTCTGCAAATTGGACATAATCTTGCGTTACCAACTTGGCTGAATAGCAACTCGACGCAAGGGCAATGAAAAAGATGCCTGCATGGCAAAAGTCGTACTACTACTTGCTTCCTCGTCATCGTGGATCTGCATATACCACAATTCTCGCGAAGTTCCATTTTTTTGTTGCCTTTTTTTGTCAAAAAGTACCTACATCTATTTAAACAAAAGCTTTCAACAACAGAGTTAGTATTGCCATAACAACTCCCAACTACATACTGTCCGCCCAAGTTAAGAACACCGGTTAAAAAAATGTGAAGAATTTAAGTTCATAGAAAACATAGTTGTCACGTACATTCACTACAAAAAAATGAGGCGTTAAATATTTGTTAACAAATAATAATTATTAAACGCCTCATTTTTTTGTAGTGAGTGTACGTGACAACTATGTTTTTCTATGAACTTATTCTTCACATTTTTTCAACCGGTGTTCTTAACTTGGGCGGACAGTAGATAGAGATGTTGATTGAAAAATGAACAGGCTCAATTACATTCGACCTATTCCTAATTTTATTTGATTATACATAATTACATATGATATATTCACAATTACACTTTACCATTCTCAATAGGGAACTTGCATTTTTTTTTTTAATTCAAAAATGTGTTCTACTTCACTAAAAACATAGTCATGCCAAATATCAGGCATTTAAAATCAGCCGTTAATTTTTTATAAATATTTGAAGTTACGCTAGAAACATCGCCATTTGAAACGACCGATCAGTGTGACGTCACTCGGCAACAAAATTCCGATCACAGTGACGAGCACTTCGAACTTCAAGCAGGTAGATTAAGATTATGGTTATGTTATGTATGCAGTTTTTGATAGATTTGACATTGGCGACACCAGCAGCACATGACGTGGCAGCGGCACGACCCGATTATTATTGCCTTGTGACGTCTCGATTCATAGAAATACGTTTTTGATCGCGTCATTAATTTCGAATTATTTGGTATTTTCAATTGAAGATTTTGGACACCAGAGATAAGATATTAATTTTTTTTCCTAATTGCATCATTTATTAGGATGATTGTTATTGTGTTTTGTTATTTATTCCATATTTAATTTGATGTGCAAGTTCCCTATTACATGTGATATCTTCGCAATTATATTAGACTATTCTCAATTACAGTTGATATATTCGCAATATCAATTGACTATTCTCAATTAGATTTGATTAATTCGCAATAATATTTTACTATCCTGAAAATTAAGTTATACAGGGTGTCCCACAATCAGCGTTACACGGCCATAACTTTCTTATTTTTAGAAATAAAAATTTGAAAAAAAAAAGTCTAATGGTTAGTTAAGTTCTCTTCAAAAATATAAAAAAATCTTCCCCTGACAAAATCATCCCCTATTTAGGTACAACCCTTCACTTTTTTTTTCAAATGGCACCCCTAATTAATTTTTTTTTTTATTTTTGAGAAGTTCATGAAATTGCAAATTCAATGATGTATGAAAAGTTTGTTTTCCTATGTTTCGTTGGAGAAAAAAATCAAAAATGAAAATAATGATAATGGGGTTCTATTTGAAAAAAAAGGCAAGAGTTGTTTTTAGGGGATGAGTTTGTTAGGGAAGATTTTTTAAATATTCTTGAAAAGGGGTTAATTTGCACACAATTATTTTTTTTTTGTCATATTTTTGGTTTTGTAGACAAAAATGTGATTGCCTGTATAAGACTAAGGATGGGACACCCATTTTTTTTTCCCATGGAAAAACAAACTTTTTATACACCATACAAATTTGTAATTTCATAATCTTCTCAAAAATAAAAAAAATAATAGGGGTGCCATTTGAAAAAAAAAAGTCAAGGGTTGTAAATAGGGGATGATTTTTTTAAGGGATGATTTTTTTATATTTTTGAAGAGAGCTTAATTAGCCAATAATAATTTTTTTTGTTCCAAATTTTTATTTTTGAAAATAAGAAAGTTATGGCCTGTAACGTTGATTGTGGGACACCCTGTATATTCGCAATTAAACATGGAAAAGGTGTAGTATAGTGAAGGATATGAATCTATAACACAGCTAGTTTTTGGGATTTTACAAATGTTTTAGTTAAACCTGTAAAGGTGAAATGAAGGTACACAACCAAGAATAAACGATAATTGAAAAAACATTTTATTATTTTTCGCTTTGTAGATAAACCGTTGTACAGGGTGGCCCGTTTAAGAGGGGCCTATACCTTATCTTGAAATCTACAAGTGCTGTAAAAAAAAACTTACCTACAACTTTTATTAATTGTTTTTGTTGTCAATTTACTATTATACAGTGTGATTTTTAGTGTGCAACATATGGGAATTTTTTTTAGTAATAGCACAACCCAAATGCAAACAAAGCCAAACGTTGGTGCATGTCTGATAATCATATTAGGTGCACTTAGAATGGTTGCAAGTCAAACAGCCTACAGGGTAGCTCAAACAATATCAAAGCTGTACCTTAAAGTACCCTTAAATACCAAAACATAGCCTCCTAAGATGTTTTTTATTTTCTTTCGAAAAAAATCTATAATTTCTATACTTTTCTATTTTTTATTTCCCCCCTTAATACTTTCAAAAATTAATTAAAATTAAATCAATTTTACATAACTTTGTTCAAATACAGTATATTTGTAAAATTAACTTAGATTTTTAATTTTTAATGGAATCAGAAAATTCATGTTTGTTGCAATGATATTCAACACAGCTGTAAAATGTCGCAATTTTTTTTTTTTAACAAGTTAAAACATTACTAATGATAATAGCCATATTAAAAAAACTCTCCTTAAAGTGCAAAAGCTTTATTTTATTTAAGTAAATATAACTACAATTTTGATGTTTTTTGAGCTACCCTGTATGCTGTTTGACTTGCAACCATTCTAAGTGCACCTAATATGATTATCAGACATGCACCACCTTTTGGCCTTGTTTGTATTTTGATTGTGCTATTACTAAAAAAAATCCCTTATGTTGCACACTTAAGTAATGATACTGTATACAGAGTGGACAAATATTTTTTTTTTTAATGGAACACCCTATATTTTAATACATTTTTACATAGCCTTTCAAAAGACAAATCCAACAAAATACTGTTCGTGTGTCTGTGATATGCCGTTTCGAACTTATCTTCAAATTTTGGGGTAATTTTCAACAGTCATTGTTACGTTACTCATAAATTTTCAAAAAAAAGTTTTAAAAGTTTATGAGTAACGTAACAATGACTGTTTAAAATAATCCCAAAGCCTGAGGATAATCGCTAATAGGTTCGAAACGGTATATCACAGATAGATGACCAGTATATCTTTGGATTTGTCTTTCAAAGGGCTATGTAAAAGTGTATTAAAATATAGGCTGTTCTATTGAAAAAAAAAGGAAATTTTATTTGTCCATCCTGTATATAGTAGAGTGATAACAAAAACAAAACAGAAAAGTTGTAGATAATTTTATTAGAAACGACTTTCGTATTTAAGTTTTCTCTACAGCCCTTGTAGATTTCGAGATAAGGTATAGGCCCCTCTTAAACGGGCCACCCTGTACATCACACGTGCGTTTAAACATGCCAACAAAACTCATGTGATTGGAACGACTCGGTCTACGATTTCGTCGTTTTAATCTTTCACACTCGTTATTGTAATCATGTTCATTAACGCTCTTGTAATGTAAATAACTATTATATAAAATTTATTTCTACTTTTACATTCTAGCAAATTAACTTACAAAATATTCCATCGTCATTGATTCCATCTTGTTTAATTTATTCCTGACAACTTCCTATAAAGGTACGTTTTCGCTGGAGCCGTCGAACGCCGCCGTCGACGGTCGCCGTTGTAGTCCGGCCGGTAAGAGAATCGACCTTGCATTTTTGGTTCAAGAGTTGAAATTTGGTACAGATGATCTTTAGACCTTACTCTTCGATTTAAGAAATGTTGCCAAGGTAGGGGTCGTGGTGGGGACCCCGTTTTGGCGGGTTGCCTACCTTCAGGGGCAAAATGTTTGTTTTAGCGTCTAGGAAGCTATTTCTCGCCCGATTTTTGTGCTATTGAGCTGAGAATTCGCGAGTATTTTTTTTTTAGTGTCTGAAGGCACTCCATGGCCATCGGGGCCGATTTGATACCTGGTTTTAACATGGCGGCGGTAAAAACGCTGTAACTGAGTTGGCAGCGGAATGACCTTCATTTGGGGCTTTTTCGCCGCGAAAAACTTCTGCACGGGGGTTTTTCACCTGGCTGAAGCTAAAAAAAATACTCAGGAGGACGTCAGACTAGCCATTAACGCGGGTTGCCTAACCACACAGAGGCAGGAACTGCGCAAACCACAAAATTTGCACTCAGTGTTTTTAAAATTCGCGCACGTAGCTTCCCGGCAGGGTCCCCGGTGGTCATCTCTGCCCAGCAGCTCGCGGCCGGCTGTGGTGTGCCGGAAGGGTAAGGGAGGGGGGCGGTTACAACAATACTCGAGCCGGGAGGGCGTTTGGTCGGTTTGCTACAAGGCGCAGCTTTTGTGTATTCCCTCCGCGTCCAGTGCGGGAAGTTTGTTGCGGAGTATTCTTTTGTGGATAAAGTGCGGTGTTAACTGTGTGCTTCATTATAAATAGTGCTTCTGGTATTACTGTGCGTTAGGGACTGTTCTCTTCATTCGTCGGAAAAGCTGTTGGAGGTAAGTCTGACTTATCTTTCTTTTTTGTCATGTCTGTCCAGTCTGTAGCTGGCAGACTAAACATATCTTCTCGTACTATTTCAGCGGCTTGTGCTAGATTGAACTAGCTAGAATGTCCTGCCCTTGCGTCCCCACGTGTTCAAGTTCCGGGCATTCAAGCAGAAGCCTGTCTCTCAACCGCGAGGAGTGGCCATCACAACAGTTGCCAAAAACCAGTTTTAATATTTATTTGTTATTGATCTTTTTATTTTAAGAAAAAACACTCAAGAGAAAACGTTTACCTGACGAGATTTCTGATGAAGCCGACATTCTTTTAACCCTTTTCATGTAATTGGCTCGACATTTGTTATGGTAGTTGGCTTTGAGGGTATGAGCCATAGAGTCACTAGCACCCGCCAGTTTCGCCAGCAATTGCGTGTCTTTCATTTTTTTGGCACAATCATATATTTCTTGGCTGCAGTGCTGAGTTGAAACAGTACTCAAAACGTGATATCTTGTACCAACGCTTCCACAAAATAAACATATATCTGGGGAAAATGACTCTTTTTTAGTCCGTGTCTTGACAGGGGAAATCAATGGCAATGCAGGTTCACTAGGTCTAGGCTTCTTTCTTGCTCTCTCGAGTCTTGATGGGCTGAACTCAAGGTAACAGGTTCTGTGCCAGCCTGCTGCTTTGTTGATCAGGGTATCTAGCAATCCTGCGCCTTCCTTGAGGGACGACACATTGAGCCCTTTCGGCACCTGTCCAAGTTTCTCAAACTCTTCCAAATTCTGTGCCAATTTAGAGTACCCTTCATTTTTATCAGGTCTGTTACTTCTACCGGGGAAAGTGAGATCTTCTCCCGTACTTAACTTACACAAAACACAGATTCCCCAGTCTACCTCAACAGACTTTGGCTCTATAATGTCCACCGAAACATCAAATAACTTAAATTTCTTCGACATTATTCAATAAAACCTGCAAGTAACAATAGTGTTATGGCGGGAATCATGGACGAACGCGAGAAAGAAAGATGAGTCAGACTTACCTCCAACAGCTTTTCCGACGAATGAAGAGAACAGTCCCTAACGCACAGTAATACCAGAAGCACTATTCATAATGAAGCACACAGTTAACACCGCACTTTATCCACAAAAGAATACTCCGCAACAAACTTCCCGCACTGGACGCGGAGGGAATACACAAAAGCTGCGCCTTGTAGCAAACCGACCAAACGCCCTCCCGGCTCGAGTATTGTTGTAACCGCCCCCCTCCCTTATCCTTCCGGCACACCGCAGCCGGCCGCGAGCCGCTGGGCAGAGATGACCACCAGGGACCCTGCCGGGAAGCTATGCGCGCGAATTTTAAAAACACTGAGTGCAAATTTTGTGGTTTGCGCAGTTCCTGCCTCTGTGTGGTTAGGCAACCCGCGTTAATGGCTAGTCTGACGTCCTCCTGACTATTTTTTTTAGCTTCAGCGAGGTGAAAAATTCCCGTGCAGAAGTTTTTCGCGGCGAAAAAGCCCCAAATGTAGGTCATTCCGCTGCCAACTGAGTTACAGCGTTTTTACCGCCGCCATGTTAAAACCAGGTATCAAATCGGCTCCGATGGCCATGGAGTGCCTTCAGACACTAAAAAAAAAGTGCTCGCCAATTTTCAGCTAAATAGCACAAAAATCGGGCGAGAAATAGCCTCCGAAGCGCTAAAACAAACATTTTGCCCCTGAAGGTACGCAACCCGCCAAAACGAGGTCTCCACCATGACCCCCACCTTGGCAACATTTCTTAAATCGAAGAGTAAGGTCTAAAGATCATCTGTACCAAATTTCAACTCTTGAACCCAAAATGCAAGGTGGGTTCTGTTTCTGCAGCTTAACGTCCGGACTATTGACGGTGCCCACTGCTATTCATTTGATTCAATGAGTATGGTTTCTTTAATGCGTCTGACCGCGACCGTCGTATTCACACGGCGCTGTCGACGGCGCGGGACTGCTTGATATACCAGTCTGAACGCGCCGTCAAGAGCGATTGGGTGTTTTGCTACAAATAATATATTCAACAATGACATCAAAATGGTCGCAATGGAAGATGAAAAACTAATTAATGCAGTCAGTTCGCATAGAGCAATCTATGATACTGAAAATGTGGACTACAAGAACCAACATATAAAACGTCTACGTCTTGTGATGAAAATATCATGAGGTGTCAATCTTTTTCTCATTTTTAAATAATAATTAATAATTTCGTCGTCTTCCTCCTCTTCTAAAAGCAAAAGGGCTAGTTTCCCCTTTATGATGCACAACTAGATGCTCGTGGATGCGACAGCGCGACTGCTGGCGGCTAGCCAAAGAATACAGAACAAGAACGCGTTCAACGGTCCGTCGACGGTGACCGTCGACAGCTACCGTTGACGGCTCCAGCGAAACCGTACCTTTACTCTGGGCACTTAATCCTGAAGAAGTCAAAATAAAGTTGACGAAAAATTGAGTTGAAGAGCAATTGAGTTTCATCATTTACAAACCGCATTCCCGAAGTTTTCAGCTAAAAAAATTGTCTGGTGGAAATTTGCTTTCTTCATATTTTTATAAGTATACATTTCTGTACAGTTTGCAGAATCCGACGCTCTTTTAATTGTAATTTACTCGTTGTTTTATTTTTTCCAGATATACAGTGACGGTGATATAGGGAGGGAGGGAAGCGTCCCCCCCCAATAATGTCGGCCGAGTTGGTAAAAAATCGTAATAGTTGGTGGAAGTCCCTATCCCTATAGTTGATTATTCCTTGAAATTAATCACTGCAGCGCCTTTTTTTTGGAAGGTTAGTTGGGTGATTTCACTCTCCCCCTCCCTCAATAATATGTCTTCGGGACGTCCCTGCAGATATAGAGAGACATGATTTATTCTGGGAAGAGAAATTGAAACCATTTTTGAAACAATTTAATTTCAAATGTTTAGTTCCAAAAATAATTGATCCAAGATTCACAAGAGGACTAAAAATAAGAGATGCTGCTCCGAATGATTGATAGAGCCTTTATTTTCTGTTATTATAGTTTTTTTGAATAAAACAGTTTTTAATTTCAACACAGTGGTTTCTTTGTGAATTTATTTTTCCACCGTTTTTTGAAAAGTTTTCGCTTTTGGTGTCCAACAAAACTGTTTATTCGGACCTACAATAAAATAGAATATTGTGTATTTAGGTGGAAAAGTGACACATTCTCGGCCGACGGTTTAAGTTAACGGGCGAGGCGTAGCCGAGGCCTGCAAACACCGAAGGCCGAGAATGTGCTTTTCCATCGAAATACACATACTATTTTTTCTGCGATCGGTAAAATACCTGTTAAATATTTGTCTTTTAGTTGCAATTATTCAGCAATACGAGAATCACTTTCCCGGCCTAGGCCGGAAAAGTGTTTCCCGTATTGTTATTCATTGATTCCTTAGCAACTATTGAAACATAATTGAAATACCAGAATATTGAGTTTTGCGACCTGTCAATTGCTCAAAAATGCTGAAATTTCTTGTCAATCGCAGAAAAATATTAATGTGTCTATGTCATAAATTATTCCCCAGATTATAAGTCATTTTCGGTAATAATAATTTAACATCAAAAAGGGAAAGGCACGTGACAAGTATGGTATTCCTATTCTAAATTGAAACACTGCATTATACGAGGATATTTGAACATCACGTCGCTCCCTTATATTAATTTCATAGAAAATCTATTGTAAAGTTACCCTGTACAAAATATCGCTACAGTATCCCAAAATAATAATTTAAGTCGGCACGCGCCTATAGGTTGAATTATTAGGGTGTGTTACTTACGTCTTTCCGGAAAGGATGCAGGTGCCTGGCTGACTAGGCTACGCGATTATTCAGTTGTGTTGTTCGATATTGATTATCATCATTTAAAGAAATAAAACTTATGTGACGCCCATATCCTTTATTTGTTTGACGTATGCCGACTAGTTTTTTAGTGTTTCAATTTGGATTAAAAATACTACACCAACGAAGAAGGCACTGTTGCCAATGCAAAAATATCATCTATGACTGGACGGAGCTGCTATCGACTATGCTTGAAAGGCGCGCCGTCGAGATAATTTTTCACCGATGATACCGCTTAACAAATATGACATTGCTGATTTTGTAATTTATTGTTATATCGAAAAATACCATAATATACCATGAGTTACCTACATTTAAGATTCTAAAGTTGCCGTCACTTGACCGAAACTGAAGCGAAAGTGGTGTAAATTGGATAACAATGGTAGAAGCGACACAAAAAGTTATCCAGATCCTCAAAATTTCAATGATATTAGATGACGCGTTTCCAAGTTATTACCTGAAAAAAACGTCGTTGGCTGTTTAATAATTTTATTTGATTAAATTTCACGGTTTTTTAATATTTCTTTTCAATAATTAATATACATGAATCTGAATATGAATATAAAGCTAACTTCAGCCACATGATTTCCTAAAGATTTTCCGGTATAGGTAATGTAACAAGGCTACCACACAAACTGTTTGGATAAAATCCGTTTTTTGATTAAGGTGCTTGGCCATGAGATAGATACCTTATAAAGCCCGTATCATACTTACTGTTACCGGTTGCCGTTGGCTTTTCGACCAACAGAAACAAAACCCGTTCAGGTTACTGTTGAACGTTCAGGTTGCCGTCTAATTTTCAACCGGTCGTTCTAAACGGTAGCTCATCGACGCTTTAAAATCTTTCTCCTGGCGGTCCAGTGAGTGATAGCCATTACCCACGAGTAGAATTCTATACTTTTTCTATGATTAATAGATAATAGAAAGAGATTTTTTTAAAAACTCACTGTATAAGTAATCACTCACATTGATCAATAGAAAATGGATGTATATTACGCATATTCAATACTCATAGAAAAACATATTTATAAATTGTAATGGCATGGAACGGAACAATAAAAAATTTCAATCAAACCAGTTGTACAGCAAAAGACTGAGGATTGCACAAAAGTTCATTGTTGAATAATTCCTTCAAGGACGCAATCCATTGGTAAGTTGCTTTCTCATTCTGAACTTCCATAGCTTGTATTCTTTTTTCCATTTCTCTTTATTAAGCACATCTTTGGATTTGTTTTTTAGCCAATATTTCAAGCTAAGAATAATATTTATTTCGTTATACTCTACTGTTATTTTACTATAACTTGAGCGAAATTGAAATAGGAAAAGTGTATTTAAGGGCCGCTAGCCGTTATTTTAACACATACCCCTATAGGAGAGTGTTTTTTTTTTGTCAGATTAAAGTTATCTGGGCCGGTATACTGGTTCTCAAAAACGCTCACAGCTTTCTAATCGCTCGGCACTTTAAATGCAAATAACAGCCTTGGATTATCACAAATTATATGTTATTTATCGGCCTTTTATAGTTATTAACGGTATAAGGCCGATAAGTAGCAAATAACGGCCGGGCTGAAGTTTATGATCCGAGGCGATAGCCGAAGATCATAATCAGCCAAGGCTGTTATTTGCAGTTATCGGTCGTGTTTCGTTGTAGATTTTTCGTCATACTGCAGATATGCAAATACCCGACCACTCGGATCTCCGGGCGTCGGGTGATCCTGGGGGTCCTACATGCAAAGATATAAAGAGAAGATCAAAAACTCAACTCAGAATTGATTTTAGCAATATAAGAGGAATAAGTACAAATATGAATTCAGTTCACCAACATCTTGAAGAACAAAGACCGGACATCCTTGTTCTCACTGAAACTAAAATCAGTTCTGCAACACCTATTGTGAAAGATCTTTATCCCGGCTATGACCTACACCACCGATTTCGACATAATTTTGGGATCTGTGTGTACATTAAAAATGACCTTTCATGTCATCGAGAGGAGAAGCTAGAACCAGCGAACCTTGATATCATATGGCTAAAATTCACCTCAAAGTCATCGACCAAGTTTATCTGCTGCCTCTACCGACCGCCATCTAACACTGAGTACCAAACCTTTTTCGCGACATTATCCGAAAGCTGTGATAGTATACAGTCAAACTATCCACAGGCGGAAATTGTCTTTTTAGGCGATTTCAACGTCCACAATATACCCTGGCAGAAACACCACAACAAAACAGATAACGAAGGCAGAGAAGCAGAAGCTTTTGCCATAAGTTGTGGTCTAACGCAGCTTGTCGATGAACCTACCCGTATCTCAGAAAGGGGCGAATTTGCAGCGCTTTTAGACTTGTTCCTAACCACAAATCCTGACTCGTACACAATTCAAGTAGATGCTCCACTTGGTTCGTCCGATCATAAACTTATAATAACAAAGTGCGAAATGCTCATCCCACCAAGCCTACAACCACTTCCTCGTAAAATGTGGCACTATAAATCGGCAAAATGGAATGACCTAAAACAGTTTTACCTGGATTTTCCATGGCAAGAGGTTTGCTTTAAAACAGCTGATCCCACTATTTGCTGTAATGAAATAACACAAGTAATTTTATCTGGAATGGATGCATATATCCCACATACAACTAAACGTAGAGCTAATGCAAAACCTTGGTTCAACAGCCAGTGTCAAACGGCTGTACAGAAAAAACACAGAGCATATAACCTTTGGAAACGACAACAAACCGCTCAAAACCACACAGAATTTATAGAAGCCAGAAATAGTTGCAAAATTACTATTGACTCCGCTAAAGAAACATACAATCAAAGAATAAAAAACAGGTTGCTGAATTGTCCAAGTAGGTCTAGGTCCTTTTGGTCTCTTGCAAAAGCTGTTGGATCTAACATCACCAAGTCATCCATACCACCACTTACAGATAAAAATAATCACTTAGCCACAACATCAGAGGAAAAAGCCAATATGCTGGCCCAAATGTTTTCCTCCAACTCCAACCTAACAGTGCCAAACGGAAAAACTCCACCGTTCATTGAAAGGGTTTCCCATAGTATGCCAGAGGTACCCTTTTGTCACAGAGAAATACGAAAATCCCTTAAAAAGCTAGATACAAACAAAGCAATGGGTCCGGATGGCATTCCCGCAATAGTACTCAAAAATTGCGCCAACGAACTCACCCCAACTTTCGCAAAATTATTCAATTTGTCTTACAGGCAAGGAGTATCTCCATCATCATGGAAGTCTGCCGCAGTACAACCCATTCCAAAGAAAGGAAAAAAGACAGATCCGTTAAACTATAGACCAATTGCTCTACTTCCGGTGATATCAAAAGTAATGGAAAGAGTTGTGAACAATCACCTAACCAAGTTCTTGGAAAACTACAAAATTATCAACGATAAGCAATACGGATTTCGAAAATATAGGTCAACTGGCGATTTGCTTACATACGTCACTCACTTATGGCAAAAAGCGATTGAGTTGCGGGGTGAAACAAGAACAATTGCCTTAGATATATCTAAAGCATTCGACAAAGTTTGGCATGAAAATCTGCTCAACGATCTCAAAGCAATGGGATTATCGCCGAAACTTTGCACTTGGTTTGAAAGTTACCTAAAGGACAGATCCATTTATGTTGTACTGGATTGCCAGAACTCCAACTCTTACCAAATAAATGCTGGTGTGCCACAGGGAGCAATCCTTTCGCCAACTCTTTTTCTGATTTACATAAATGACCTCATAGATAAAACAGTAAATCCACTTTATTGCTTGCAGACGATGGCAATGTAGTCTCCTCACTCATACCACCCACAGGTCTTTCCGCACGTGAATTCCATCATCTCAGACTAACTCAAATATCGCAGATAAATAACGACCTGGAGATAATAGAGGACTGGGGTAACAAAAACCTTGTACAGTTCAACGCGCAGGAAACCCAAGCAGCTCTGTTTTCAAATAAGACCAGCACCGGTGAGCCAAACATCATGCTATCTGGAAGTGCTGTCACATTACAGAGTCAGTTGAACATCTTGGGGGTTACTGCAGAGACCAACATGTCTTGGCACAGTCACGTGGCAGATATTGCTAAAAGGGCGTCCCAAAAGCTGGGGGTGTTATTTCGTACAAGACATCTGTACACACCAAGCCAATTGCTGACACTCTACAAAGCCCAGATTCGACCAACTATGGAGTACTGCTCACCTATATGGAGTGCAGCACCCAAACATACCTTAATGCTTTTGAACACCGTGCAAAAACGAGCTATCAAGCTGATCAATGACCCCGCACTTACTCGTAACTTGGATGGTCTCGAACATCGCAGATCTGTGGGCGATTTATCTCTCTTCTACAGGTACTATCACGGAAAATGCTCTGAAGAGTTGGCACGTATGATTCCACCGAGAGTAGCGCCTACCAGGCGAACCCGTCAAACAGACGGTAACCATGAATTTACTGTCAAACTAGAGGCACCAAGAACCTCATTATATCAGAATTCATATCTCTGGAGAACAGCATCGCTGTGGAATAAACTCCCTGCGACGGTTTTCCCTGCAGGTTACAACCTGAACCGTTTCAAGACCAACATACACCGACATTTCCGCGCACTCGTCGCTTCTCGAGCGTGATGGGACATTTCCTTGCGAGTGCGCATATCCGTAAAAAAAAAAAAAAAAAAAAAATATCTTCCAATCTGACAAAAAAAAAAACACTCTCCCGACCAGCGGCCGTTATTTTAACGGCCGGCGACTCGTTATTTATATTTAACCGGCCTGCGGATAAATAACGGCTGGCGGTCGTTAAATATACCTTTTCGATTTCAATTTTACTCATGTTATATTAAAATAACAGTATAGTATCACGAAAAAAACAATTTCAGGTTGAAGTCAAGAATCCTAACCGAAAATAACCTTACTTATTATACTTATAAAACCCTTCTCCACTCTTGACACCCAATTTGTTATCCAACACCAGTAGCTTACTGGATCCTACAGGTATAAATAAATTATCCTTGGGATATTTTTTGTGCCATTCTTCCAGAATAGCGGTTAAAGTGTCTTGACCAATCAAATCCGAGAGTTCAATGGGGCCCATGGAAGTACCTGCAATCAGTTTCATGGCAGAATCTATGTCATTTGGAGAAGCTTCGCCTCTTTCTACCATTCTAAGTGCCTCTGCAACGTAAGGCAGCAATAACCTATTGACGATAAATCCATGGGTATCCTTACAAGTGACGCAAGTTTTGCCTAAAGATTTACCCCAAGCGACAAATGATTTGTAGGTATCTTGAGACTGCTCTGGAATTGTTATTATTTCCAAAAGTGGTACTTGGTATTCGGGCTTGAGAAAATGTAATCCACCAAACCTAAAAGGATGTTTCAGGTTATTGGTTTGTTTCCGATTAAGTTTTTCTTGCATATCGATTACTCTAGAGCTAATAACTATTTTCAGTACAAGGTGATCCAGTATAAAGTGAACACTCCGTAACTTTCTGCTGAAAAACTTATTTTTGGAAAAATCAAGATAGCCATTTGGTGTATTTTGTTTATAAGAATTTGAAAACGTTTCTCGAAATTTAATCAGATCTTTCCTTAAAACGCTGTGACGAAAAAAGTAATTTTTTTAAAAGGAATAACCTATATGTACACCCCTAATTTTTTATTTTTATTTTTGAGAAGTTCATGAAATTGCAAATTCAATGATGTATAAAAAGTTTGTTTTTCCATGTTTCGTTGGAAAAAAAAATCAAAAATGAAAATAATAATAATGAGGTTCTATTTGAAAAAAAAAGGCAAGAGTTGTTTTTAGGGGATGAGTTTGTTAGGGAAGATTTTTTTAATATTCTTGAAAAGGGGTTAATTTGCACAAAATTAATATTTTTTGTCATATTTTTATTTTCGTAGACAAAAATGTGATTGTCTGTATAAGACTAAGGGTGGGACACCCATTTTTTTTCCCCCAAGAGACATGGAAAAACAAAGCTTTTATACACCATACAAATTTGTAATTTCATAAGCTTCTCAAAAATAAAAAATAAATAATAGGGGTGCCATTTGAAAAAAAAAGTCAAGGGTTGGAAATAGGGGATGATTTTTCCAAGGGATGATTTTTTCATATTTTTGAAGAGAGCTTAATTAGCCATTAATAATTTTTTTTGTTTCAAATTTCTATTTTTGAAAATAAGAAAGTTATGGCCTGTAACGCTGATTGTGGGATACCCTGTATATGCATCAATTTTTTTAACGCCCCTATTTTTCTCATTTCAAATATATAGTTTGTTTATCTTTATGTCAGTAATAAGATATATATCTTTAAAATTTACATAAAAATAGCCGACAACCAGCAGTTTTAATTAAAGGAAAATTTATTTAGATTTACCTAGGTTATTCCATTAAAATAGTATATTGTTTTATTAGGAGTAAAGGTGATACTTTTGTGACGAGTCTGTAAGTTTGCCTGCAGCAATACAGACGAGTCACAAAAGTAGTTTTTACTCCGAATAGAACACGATATTTTTTCTTCAAACGTGCCTGAATAATAGAAAAAATCGAAATTTTCTCAAGTATTGATGATGTCAATCTTTGCGTTGTATAGCAAATATTCACGAGCGGAAGTAAAAGTCTTTTATTTCCGTTGTCCATAGTGACCGTCAACTGACATAAAAGTTACACTTTAACATCATGAGATTAGTAGATAAATGTCAAGTTTTCTGACGTTTGAAGAAAAAATATATTTTTTTCGTCCCAGCGCCTATCTTGATTTTTTTCAAAAAAAAGCTTTTTAGCGGAAAGGTACTGGGTGTTCACTTTATACTGAATCACCTTTTACGTAGTTATCATTTCAAGAAACATATCTGTAAATTTTTTGTTGTCAGTCATGGGCCATTAGTTAAGATTTCACATAGACGACAGTGGAAATATACAGGAATAGTATTTATTCACTGCCTTATCACATAACTTACCGCTTCTTTACTCCACTAACATTGGATAGCTCTGTTTGTGTTGATTTCATTGGTATATGGTTCAATAAGTTTATCTCTAATAGTTTTTGAAAAAAAAAGTTATGTATGTTTTAGCCATAAAAAACAATGTGTTAGGGCCGATTACATCTGTGTATTTTTTTTGTATTTCTACATGCATTTTATGCATGTATAAATTCATATATTCATATAAGCTGTAAAAACACAGCTAATATTTCCGCTTTACATTCGTGTATTCTTCATGTATAAATAAATACATGTACAAATACACGAAAAAATACACAGATGTATTGCGGGCTTTAGAAAGAGACCTTTCCCATTCTCCTTACATATATAAAATCCTTTTCTAACACATTGTTTCTTATGACAACAAAGATATAATTTTTTTCCTCGAAAATTGTTAGAGATAAACCTATCGAATTTTATATTATTGAAATCAGCAAAAGCAGAGCTATCCAATGAACTCTTAATATTCAGGGTGTCCTATAGAAAAAAACGGACTTTGGTCAATATCTTGAAATCTGGGGCAAAATAGAAAATAAAACTGAAAACGTCACTGGATTCTCGAGACAGGTTTTTCGGAAAATTTATTTTCATTAACAAATAAGTAATGAAGAAATGCCCTCTATAGCGGCAAAAAGGTTGAAGATATCAATACGCTGATCACACGAATCAAGATTTCATGAAATTTGAGCCTCAAAGTGGAATAGTAAAGCGTTATTTTACTACAGAGCAGAGGGTTAATTATTTTTATTTGTCACTCATTTGTAAAACGTCATTTATCAAGTCAAAACATAAACAACGTAAATTGATTTTTACCAGTTACTGGCTCTACTGACTTGTAAAATTGACAGCTAAACTGTAAAAACTTTTATTTTCAACCATATATGAAATGTTGTCATTACTGACTTTTCAAAAATTTGAAAATGTCACATTTCTGTCTTTTCATTTTCCTGCTCCATTACCTGTCCCAGGACAGGAAGTGAGGACGGGAAATTTTTTCCGTCCTCATTTCCCGTCCACGGACAGGAAATGGAGCAGGGAAATATTTCCCGTTCTCATTTTCTTCTTCATTTGCCGACCTCATTTGGTTGCCCCGAATTTTTTTTTTCAAGAAATTATGGTTAAAAATAAAATAGTATACAACCCTCGACGGGAAACTTCATTGCTGTCTCGAGGTTCAGTTTATCTCGACGCTACGCGTCTGGATAAACTATAAAACCTCTCGACCAGTAATGAAGCATTTCCCGTCTCGGATTGTAATATACTATTTACAAGTCAGTAGGGTCAGAAAATTATTTATTAAAATTGTATTACCTATATGTATCAATTTTTTATTTATTGTTTAAGATTGTTTACAAATGAGTAACAAATAAATTATTGTACATCATACGCCAGGTATCTGTTTTTACTGGCTCTTGAAGGTGACAAGCTCGCCTGACGGCTCGCTAGTCATTTCCTTCAATCACCAGTAAAAACTGTTTTACCTGGCTAATAATGTAAAATACTATTGTGTTATTAAGAAACGTGAATTTCAGAGCGACACTGAAATTCACGTTTCTTAATATTTTTTTTTTTTTACGGATATGCGCACTCGCAAGGAAATGTCCTATCACGCTCGAGAAGCGGCAATAATAGGGGACAAATTGGATCACCCTGTACGGTGTGTCCCAATTTGGATACTTTTATCAGGAAACGTCAGTTTCTGAGCGAGATACAAAAAAATTTCATGAAATTTTGATTGGTGCAAACCGCATTTTGATATCTTCCATACTAATCATAACTTTTTTGTTAATGAAAAAAACTGATTTTCGTAAAAACCTTTCTGGAAGTACTTTTTTAAGCAGAATTTAGTAACGTTCTCAGTTTTTTCTGATTGGCCCCTATTTCGAGATATTGATCAAAGTCCGCTTTTTTTTCAATAGGACACCCTACATACAGGGTGTCCCAAAATATGTGAGCAATCTCTCGGCTTCAAATAGAACACAAAAAAATAACATGACAACAAAAATTCGACGCCTCTGAAAGTTGATAACTTTCAAAATACTTCGTGTATTTTTTTTTTCTTTTAATATCATGGATAGTAGATAAGACCCCTTCAAATGGATCCTTTCAAATACACTTGACCAATCTAGTTTGCCAGGGACGTACTAGCTTTAATACAATAATGACACTGAGGAAATATTAGTAGGAAGGATTAGCTTTCACTGTCGCGAAATAAGGGCTGATATTGAAGCATTGTCGGGGGTCGAACAATCTTTCAATAAGATAGGTATAGAATGCATAAGATTAGAAGGAGTTCATGTTGAGTCGACATACAAAATTATTTAATAAAAAACCATTAATAAACAAAAACATAATTTTCTCGAAACCAGCTGATTTTTTCGACATCGATTAAGAGTACCTTTTTTCTAGTTCAAGGTTGAAACTATCTAAAAATATTATTGCTATGCCTATATCATACAGGGTGGAAAAAAATTTAGCGTTATTGTGTTAAAGCTAGTCCGTCCCTGGCGAACTGTGTTTGAAAGGATCCATTTTAAGGGCTCTTATCAAGTATCCATTCTATTAGAAGAAAAAAAAATACAACAGTATTTTGAAAGTTATCAACAAAAAACCTATTTTCAGAGGCGTCTTTTAGGGGCACTTAACTTCTAAGGGGGAGCCGTAGGAAGTTGTCATGTTATTTTTTTGTATTCTATCTGAATCCGAGAGATTGCCCACATATTGTGGGACATGTATATTAATATGTCATTGGAAAGCTCTGCTTTTGCTGATTTCAAGGATAAGAGATTCGACAGGTTCATCTCTAACAACAGTTTTCGAGATAAAAAAAATCATTTTGGTTTTGTCCTAATGGAAAAACCGAAATATTTTATTTTTTCTCGAAAACCGTTGAAGGTAAACCTATCTAAATTGTTATCATTGAAATCAGCAGAAGCAGAGCTTTTCAATAGGGAACTTTACAATTTTTTTTTTATTTTTTTAAATCATTTATTTATGCCTTGGGAGAGTATTCCCCAAATATTATTCCCTAAAACTCAATAATAACTTGGTGAAAATTTTTTAAAGCTTCGCGCGTATTAAAAGCATTTCAAACGACTTTAAATGCGCGCGAATCTGGATGACGTCACGTAGTATGATTTTGGATTTTGCGTCACCTTGTAGTCAAACTTCATATCACAAAATATCTTTATATTTTACTTCATTGTATTTAATTTGGTTGACTTCCACATTTTCCACCGTTATTTGTTTTGTTGTTGTTTTGGGTTGCGACTAGCTGTAAATTTTGAAGTTATAATGGAAAAAAAGATTCACACATACTTACTTTTGCTACTATAAACATATCACAAATTACAGATTGGCGGATTGGCCTTTGGAATTTC